TGCACATACTTTCTTGCATTATTTCTAATTTGGAATGTTCGAAAATTCGGACCCTTCTTCTATCCTTAAAAAAAAAGAAATTGCGTAAAATGAAATTTGATGACACAAAAATTCAATTGAATGTATATCTTATATTTGCAATTTCTTACTATATATTCATTGACAAAAAGTTATTAGTTTCGACCCTTTACGTGCCTTAGAAATTCATAAGATTCATTCTGAGACATTCTGTATTTAGGGTGCAATCCAAAATGCTAGTGACGTATAGAATTTTTCCCGATTGACAAAGATCTTCTCCACTCTATACGTAATGCATTTTATAAATGTGAAATGATAAATAGACGACGCAAAATAGGAAAAGAGCAAGTGCAACACTTGTGGAAAAGAAAAGTCACAAATCAGAACCTTGGAATATGAAGGAGCAACCGAAACCTTAGTGAAAATCGAAAGTAAATAAATATCTAGTTTTTTTATTGCTGTTTAGAGAAATTCAACGTCCTTCACACTTCAACTAAAAAATTGCAGAAACTAAAGCAATAAATAAAGAAATAAATAAAAGGAATTTTCTAAAAGAAAAACTCATCAGCAATACTCATTTAATGTGTCAGTTTATGTATGTGACACTATTTCTTACTGATTGTGGAGACCGACCGAAAAAATCTAGCAATGTTTATTGAAATAGAAAGATGAAAAAAATCAATGAATTAAGTTACAGGTCACCTTTCATACGTGAGAGAGTGATCTTTCCATTGACACTATATTTATTTTATTTACGTCAAAACAGATAAAAACTGTGTGTGACGTACTATGGGGAGATGTTAATTTGAAGTTACATTTATGTCCAGAAGCAAAACAGGTGGTCATCTTTGCCCAAGGATCAGGGAAACTGGACGAAAACGTGATCGAGGTGGAGGTTATTGACCCATACGCTGAAGTACAATACTTGTTACAGGCTCTTTAGAATTATATAATCCAAGTGGTAAATAATACATTAATCGTCATTGATAAAATTAATACTACTTTCCTTTTCGATGCTCGGTATAGTCTTCAATTGTATAGAAACAGTTCTGCGGCAGAAAAAGTTTTACATGGGACTTAAATTTTTATAACGAATTGAATCGTTTAATGTCATTTGCCAAGGTGTTGTAAAATAATGTACATGTATTATATGTGATCTGTTTCTTTGTAGTGATCTGTTGAAATTGTCACCTGATGAATATGATTACTACGTCGAGCGTTGTAATTATAGACAACGGCGTTTGCTGAAAATATATTCCCGTCCGTATGTAAGACATTTTTGACAAAAACCACTGATTCGTATATCAAGAGGCAAAGTGATGGTAAAATACCTAGATTAATAGATGCTTACGAGAATCACATGGGTGGGATTGCTTATTATTAGTACAATTCTTTTTTGTAATCTAGAAGTCTGGGAGTATTTCGTCAGAATAGTATGCCATATTTCAGACGGGAATGCACAATCTCGAAATATACACAACGAGCAGTATGAAGGCTGACTGAATTTGATATAATTCTGAAAGCGTAGCATAAAGAACTTACTTTAGTGTTCCATTCATTTAAATGGACGTTTCATTTAAATGAACGATGAAAAAAAAACGACAAAAGAGAAATTAGCTGAAAATTTTGAATTTCATTTTGTTGCCTTTTTGAAAAGCGGCTTAACCTTAGTTGTTTTAAAATATCTGGAAAAATTCCTGTGCATAAGGATACATTAAATATGTGAATTAATGGGTGTATAATGGCGAGCGCACAAGTCTTTAACAAACAAACCGGAAATTAATCCAAACCGACCTAATATTTATTTTTTAGTGTACCGATTATTTGAGAATTTCATAGGAAGACTATTCGTAAACGAAAATTGTGTCTAAATTTTTGGGGGAAACGTCTGATTCTGAATTTTGTGGCTGAAGACCCTTAGTGAGATCGGCAGAAATTCTCGAGAAGTATTGGTTAAAGACACTAGCCACTGTTGCCGGATCGTTCACATTTCTATCGTTACCTTTTAAAACAATATTCTCTTCAAGGTTTCTAGTTGATTTGGACGAATTGTTTTTATATTCATGGTTTTAGCCTGCATTGTGACTTTTATTAACAATCATTTGTATTTTTTAATGTAGAGGAGGAAATCTTGAGATACGATATGATGCTCAGAAATGAAAGATAGAATTCGATAGAATTCGAATTTTTACATTATGTCCTAATCCCTTGTGTTATCCAAGAATTACTTTTCCGTGAAATATTTAATTTCCTCTTTTGAAGAGGAAAGCAAGTGCTGAAATGTGAAATGTAGTAGTGTAAATCGCATCCAATGACTTTTGCAGCAAGTAATTGATGAATATTTTCCTTTTCTTTTAGTAAACATTCTACTCCTACGTGTATTATTTATTGTGTCAGTGTTGGCATTTCTTATAATGGTAAAGATTTGTGTATCGTGATAACTGTATCCTAAATCTTTTGTTTCAATTTCATATCGAGTAGTGGTTTTGTTAATTAAATTTTGATCGATGCCTTCTTTGAATTTAGTGTGATCCGTGTAGGTACATTTAATGTAATATCTAAATTAAAGAATGAATTAAAGTGAGAAACTGCTCTTTCTTGCGAGATTTGACCAGCAAATCAATGTTAAAATGTTCGCATACAACAATGTATTCAAAAGAGCGATTGCTGACTTTGCATTATCAGGAAAGTGTGGCATCAGGTTTAGGTGAATTGATAGTGGGAATGGGAGAAGCGGGAGTAGGATCAGAGGAGAAGATAAGAGGGTTGTAAATAAGGGTGAGGAGAAGTTAAGGAAGGTGAAGGGGATGGATTTTTGGCAGGAGACTGCGTAGAACTGTAGTTGATGATGTGCTGTTTGTAGCTTTTTGCCGACTGCACGTTTTCCAGTAAAGTTCAGGTGAAGACCATGACTGGTGAAGTGTTTTGCTGAGTGGAAATTAATTTCAAAGATTGTTACATTTGTTTCTCTCAGTTGCAGTTTTAATTGTTACTTTTTTTATGCTCAGTGGGAATACCTTTGTTTTCGATGATAGAGAAGAGTTGTGAGGATCATAATCTAAAACCCTAAATTTGTTTTGAGTTGCGACTGGAGAGTGGTGTCTGTGTCTTTTGTGCAGTCTCGGGTGCACGGTGGGGAAGATTCGCAGTGTTGCCGATTTGTACCCAACCGTCTATGTTGAGAACGACCTCTTCCAACCTTCGGATATGTTGATCTAAATTACTGTTTATGTGTGTGAAGGCTTTCAGAAGGCTGGCTTTGAGGGTGTAGAGAGTAAAAAGAGTAGAACGATTAGTAACCATGTCACAAATGCGTTTTAATGTACGTGATAAAATTGGAATAAATACAAGAAAGTCAGATAGCAACATTCACCTAGCTTAATATTTTGAAAGTGTAATAGTGATATGTATTCACTAAATTAGAAATTATGATTCGATGCTAGAATGAGAATGTATGTTATTTGCAAAATCGATTGACTTACGAAATTTGGCAGTGTGGTTATGTAGATTGTCGTCCACTTAAACTGCTTCTATTTAATACAACCAGTAGACTATACCGTAAATAGATAAAATATATGAATTGAAAATTTGTCTTGAAAGTATAGAATAGATAAGATTTGGAAAACAAATTCAAAACTGTTCGATACACAGTCCTCATAACGTTCAAATCAACGGAATCGTCACTCGTCACAGAGTATATCTTTCAGTAATTAAATTAGCACAGTGATATAATATAGAAAATAAACTGAACTGTTTATAGGTTTCCACACTTATTAGCAAATCGTAAATCTTAAGTTCGTTATGGTTCCAGTAACCGTTTAAAATGTGTTATCTGTTGTTTTGTCTTGGCTATAGCAAAAAACCAGCCGAAATTATATTACCAGCTAACCTGCAACAAGTAATGAAAGCACTTAAACTCACTAAATATAGCCAAATCGCTAAAATAGTAGATAGTCACAAAAATTCAAGAGCACATCCACATGCGTCCCTCCCGTAAGATGGCATCAACCAGTTGCTATTTCAAACAATTTTTTTATTTCTGCGACAGATTAATTAGGCTTTCCAACTGCCATAATCATGAAATAATAATATTGCTCGCGCAACTATTCTTGAACGATGACCTTGCCTCCCCCTCTCTGACACAATAAACAGTTGAAGACAAAAGCTGGCACTGATGGCAACATTACAAACACATCTTCACTGGCACGAAGTTGAAAATATTTTCTGTTGAAGACGAGAACTTCTGTCCATTTTTTATCCAAAATTATTGACATATCCGAAGGTGGTAAAGGTCCATCACAGAAGGTACCTCGAACTGCTGAGAAAGTTAGAACGCAAAAAATTAAGAAAATGACGATGGCATGACTGATTCTCCAGAGATTGGCATTGCTTCATAAAATCTAGGGGCTGATTATGTAACTAATACTCCCACTCTACCCATATTTCTTTAATCCATCGGTCAAGAAAAGTTGCGCGAGTAATACCTTTCCGATGATGTGTATAATTTTCTTCTTTCAGTTTGTAGCTTACATTTTTCCATTCTGTTTTCAAGTATAGTTTATTAAAAACATACGACGATTGTTTCGATTTTTCGGAGTTTTGAAGGAGCATTGTGCCTACCAATACTTTAATTAATAGTTGCAGATAAATTTGAATTCAAATTCAATTAAACAGTAAGTTTAAAATAGTTTTGTAAATAACATTGCCGTACTAATATTTCTTGACACTTGGAGAGTTATCAACTGTTGGCATTGCTATCCAATCTGGAGCTCTTTAATTGATGAAATTGAAGTTTTCGATTGGATAACTGTCTCCTTCCTCTCCTAACTCACCAAGTGTCAAGAAATTTTAATCGAAGAGTAATCGTGTTGCTCCTATGGACATGCGCAGAAGGGCGTCATGATGAATAAGAAACTACAAAGGCCAGATACTTCCGGGGTATGTGTCAGTGAGGATTTATAAGTGAAAAAGTGAACATCAAAATGGGAACTTTTCAGAGTGATGATGATGGAGGTTGGTTGTTAACCAAGGTAAGAATTTGTGGCCTCTAGAAAAATGTTTAGTGAAGTGTTTTTAAATGTAATGCATTTTCGTAAATGTTTTTTAAAATAATTTAGTCTCTTAATAAGGACATAATAAGGACTCTACTAACAAAGATTAAATTGGCTATACACTAGCAATATGTTTTTGCTATATCTTCCAGAAATTTGTTTGTTTTTTGCAAACTCCTTTGCAGTAGAACGGAGCAAAACGAGGTAGCAGGTTGCTTTAAATTTTTGCCAGTGGTTTCATATTAGGGTATAGGTGTTGTGGTGCGTTATCGTTGGCATTTTTCATGAAATAATTATAGACGTTGTCATTGCCAACAGTGTTGGCAATGACAACGTCTATAATTTTTTCATATTAGGATTTAGTGTAGCCGTGTTCGGTGACGTCACGAGGGAAATATGGCGCGTGTACTTTCGCGAATATTAGATAATACTCGTATTATCTAATAATAATGTAATATTATTAGAGTTGTATAGAGTGTATTATCTGGCTGATTATTGAAGAAAATTTGTATATTTGAAAGCTCCAATTCTACAACAGCCATTCCATTCTTATAGATATTAGAATATTATATTAAAATAACATTTTGTAGTTGAAATTATCCTACAAAGGAGGATTAACCCATTTGCACAGCCGTATTTGCTATTCATAACAAAATTATGATATAACATGATAATTATTCTACGGGCTGGCGACGCTGACGATGAACCTTTTCCCTCCGAGGGATCCAAACCTTGCACCGCCTACAGTAAACAGCGGCGTCCGGGCGTTGCAATATCTTGCGACTTGTGTCATTCAGTTCCAAGAGAGTGGAATCCGCACCTTTTTTACTAGAATATTTATTCTATTCGAAGAAAACAACAACAATATTGGAGCCGTTTTTGAGAAAATCTTATTTTAGCACCACAGTTTGTGTATGGAGGAAGCTGGTTGATATGATGTTTTCTAATAAATAAGTATTTAATTGGCTGTCTGGGTGACGCCGCGTCCATGGCAAAGATGCCGACATTTCGGCCGCTTTTTGCGACGTTCCTCAAGGCGTAAAGCCAACGTTACGCGGCGTCACCCGGTCAGCCAATTAAATACTGACACCGGCCGCGGAAGCCTACGCTATATCTTGTAATTTATAGTTAAAATGAATTCAATTGGAATATTGAATACGTTTCGTTACTCTAGAAAATTGGTGAATACTTGAATTGTGAAAATGTATCATTGGCTTCTGAAAAGGGGGGTGAAGCTCCAATAAGCGCACTCCCCCTCGAGTATGTTGTAAATATTAGTTTGTAAAGTAGAATCACTTACGTTTGATAACAATAGGCCATTATCTAAGGGTTCATCACAGGTCGTAGGTACCGAGATCCGACGGTGGTAGAATTTTCCGCACTAGGTAGATAACTATGTTGTAATTTAGTTGCGTCTGGATGAAAATTCTTGCGGTCGGCTGTTCAGATCGATATTTTTTTGTTGTTTCTTCGATCAGCACCGTCTGCCGGGGCAGTATCCTAACAAACACGTCGGGCGATCTTTCCTTTTCCCTGGCCTGCCCTCAGCCCTTACGCACACACACACACACACACACACACACACACACACACACACACACACACTTACATGCATTGCACTGCCCCACATGTACATCTTTTCCCGGCCGGAACAGTTTTCCATTTATGGGAGTTACCTGGATGAGGAACACCCCTCAAGCCGACGTTTATATCGGCGCCGAATTCAGTATGCAGCGGCTGAAGAACTCTGCCACCTTCCACGATAAAAAATCACTACAATTACGGGATTAATTCCCGTAGCTGTTGACGCACACAGAAACAGGGAATAATCAAGCTGATCGTAACTACGTTCAAATGTTGCTGGATTACTCATGGAATGACATTCAATAACAAATCCTATTTTTGATCGTTTAAATATTTATAACTATAATTTAAAATACTTGTTTCCACCCCGATAGCTGATGCGGCTAAGACAGTACCATGCCGCTTGAAGTAACGGTAGATTCGCATCTTATTTCGCGCATGGCGTGTGGTTGTGGGTGGGTGGGGGCTCTGGGATCTTCGGCTTCAGTTTAGTAAATTTTCCT